CCTAGTCTGACTGTGTGACGACTTAATTGTCAGTCTGTGTGACGGTCAGGATCAGTCTCTGTGACGAATTCTTACTAGTAGTTGAGGTACACTAATGTAATGGTAAATAGTAGATTTGTGCATGTGATGTCATGAGTCCGTTGAATACGGGAGATACTCATAAGTCTTCTTCTAAAAATAGGTGTTGGCCCTGACAATCCGATCATATCGCCCTTATCGCTTGCCAAAGGAGGATAGCTCGTTGTCGTTTCGTCACCAAGTAAGTGACTTTAATATTACCCTGACATCGTTGCCCATATACAGGGTGTCCGCAAAGTTGGGGTTTTCCTTTACACGACGTGTAGATCTTGAAAACATAAGCAATTTTTCGTAGTACCATATACACCAATGTCTTAAGGGAACCGAGATAAAGGGCTCTGCAACAACAAAAATATCTGAATACCGTCCTGTAGCCGCGACATCACCGACTGGTACAAGGTCACTGACTCAACCCGACGACAGAACTGGGTCGGGGTCAGTGTGTCAGGTCAGTATGCAACCTTCAACCGACGGTTACGGTCACGCGTGTAGAGGTAATCGCGTAGACGAGAATCACTCAACATGCACTAGAGACGTGGCTAGAGAAGTGCAAGTATCAAAAACTAAAGTGTGGCAAACGCTGCGTGAAGAGGGGCTGTATCCGTTTCACGTCCAACGTGTATAAGCCCTTCAACCTGACGATTTTCCAGCAAAAGTGCGGTTTTGTGAGTGGTTGTTGCATCAACATGACAATAATCCGGACTTTTTGAAGTGCATATTGGTGACAGATGAATCTACGTTCACACGTAATGGGGTGAATAAATTTCGCAACACTCATGTTTGGTCAGTAGAAAATCCACACGCTGTGCGTCGGGCACATTTTCAAAAAACATTTTCGGTGAATGTTTGGGCTGGCATGGTGAACGGTATGCTCATTGGACCATTTATTCTCCCAAATCGATTGGACGGAATGCAATGCCTAGACTTTTTACGCAACAATTTGCCTTCCTTGTTAGAAGACGTGCCATTAAGTGTAAGACAATCAATGTGGTTTCTGCGTCTGCTCGGTAGCGCGTCAGCTGATTTCATTTTCTGTTGGAGCGGTATGATTTTGGGCAGAGACGTACTTAGCCCTTCTCGTCAACTTTAAGAGTGAGTACTTTTTCCTTCATTTTTTTTACTTGGTCGCCCTCGTTTCACTACACATTACCTTTGTTATTTCAAGGGTAGTTGTTTCTTAAAAGGAAAACCCCAACTTTGCGGACACCCTGTAGAATTGTTTTCGTACCGCCCATGCAGTAAAAATGAAATGGTACAGGGCGGTACTTCGGAATCTTCTAAGATGAGATGTTTTCACGTTTATCGTTATATTTCTATTATCATCTCTCGTTCGTATCCTACTTCGTCCAATGGACATGGGAAGTAAAATTGTCTTTCTATTTACCTTAATCTCATATTGCACCAGCTATATCCCCTTAGCTTGCGAGGGAAGATAAAATTCGTCCTAGTATAGCTTACACGATGAGAAATGACAAGCGACAATTGGTAGAACCTAGAGTAGCTAATACTGTGTGGTATAACCTAATAACGATTTTCCAGTTTTAAACCAGTATTCGTGTACTGAATGCAGAAGACATAATTAAGTTTGTTGATAAATCTATTATGAATCTGAACGACATATATAGAGTACCAGATATGTAACTACGATGTATTGGGTGGACGCATAACAGCGGGTTTGAAATTGGATTTTCCTATTCCCAGTCATACAGGTATGACTTTCTCAATTTGCCAGGACGTGTTTTGAGCGAATCGGAACACATCCATTTTCTGTTTTACAAAATCGACAGTTAAATGATTGGACGATTCAAGCGGCGGACGAAATACGGTTACAATATAACCTTCTCGACAACCGCATTTGGATCAAATGAACTATATGTAAAGTCACTGAATGCCTGACAGTCCTTTAATGATGGCAACATAGTAATTAAACGGATCAAGTCAGTCAAACAGGCCCGTATAATTAGTCCATAGACATTGAGCCGTATTCATAAAAGAGAAGCATATCCTCGGAAGCATAAGGTAAACGTATACGGTCTTGCTTCGGAGGAAAAGGTAGAAGCATAAACATATCCTTGTTTTCATATTCATAATGATTACCTTATACTTGCGAGGATGTCCTCCAAGAAGACGTAAAATGTTGACTAGTATTTGTATCTTGAGCGACATGTCCTGACTTGTTCCAGCTTGTAGTTGACGTGGGAGTTCGTTCAATCAGCATCACTGACAGTTGTACTCCAGAGCTTACACAGACCGTTCCGTATTTTTACTAGATACAGTTTTTTATCAAACTGATAAGCATGTCATCCTCAGGTGATGAGGAAACTATAGAAAATAATGGCAACGACCTGCAGTTCATCGCAGATGAAATTGCCATTGCTCCCTTTATTTTGCAAAAGTTACAAGTTCGAAAAATAAAAATGAGAAAGGGCGATGCCTTGAAGAAGATGTTGAAAAAATACGAATCAACATTCGGTAAACCATTAGATACTAAAGGCTTATTAAAAAAATCAACAAGATGGAATTAAGATTGAAGAAAAAACAGATCTAAAAAAAACTGGTAGCAATAGCAATTAAATTGTTAGATTGGGAAGTGAACTATACTAAGTGACATATAAATCCGAACACCCAGTTTAAATGGTTTTATTTTAATAAAAGTTGGTGTATGTATTTATCTGACTGTAAATAACAAGTGAAAAAATTTTCAGCCTTATCAGTTGGACATTCCGGTTTTTATACTGTTTTTTTTTTAATTCACTAACGCTCTAAAAATGAATATTTCAGCCGCAGTAAAGAATCAACGTTGGCGGATTTTGGTTCTTGACATCCTTTACGATCGGTTACTATGCCTAGAGTACGGAGACCTGTACGATTTCGTCAACTTTGTGAGTTAGATAGGGGCCGTATAGTGGGACTTCGGGAAGCTGGACTTTCTTTTCGGGCAATTGCAGTTAGAGTGCAAAGAAGTGTAGACACTGTGGTTAGGTGTTGTCAGGCATGGCTTCGAGAAGGCCGTACGCAAAGAGCAAGGGGCACTGGACGCCGCCGTAGAACAACAGACCGTGAAGATCGCCGCCTAAGATTATTGGCCTTAAGCGACCGTTTCTCCACTACCAGGTCCATTGCAAATGAATGGTTTGCAGAACACGGAAGACCTATTGGAATGCGAAGTGTTTACCGACGAATGAGAAGTTTTGGCTTGTTTTCATACCGGCCACACTGGGTCCTCCCTTTAACTCGAGAACACCGACGTAATCGCCTTGAGTGGTGCAGACAACGGTCACTCTGGGATCAGGAATGGAACAGTATTGTCTTTAGTGACGAGTCTCGATTTTGTTTAGGCATGAACGATGGTCGTGCCAGGGTTAGAAGGCGACGTGGTGTATGGAGAAATCCACAGTTTTTTGTTGAAAGTCATGTTCATCACACTGTTGGAGTTATGGTTTGGGGTGCTATAGCTTATGGGTCCAAGTTACCTTTAATCTTCATCAGAGGTAACATGAACGCGCAGCGTTATATCCACGAAGTTCTAGAACCCCATCTTTTACCCTATCTTGACACCCTGGCAGATCCAACTTTCCAACAAGATAATGCCCGACCACATGTTGCAAGAGTCACAATAGACTTCTTTGAACATAATGATGTCACATTGTTACCATGGCCACCAAGATCTCCCGACTTATCCGCAATTGAGCACGTGTGGGATATGATGGGTAGGAGATTGCTCAATTTGCAACGTCCTCCTCAGACTCTAGAAGCACTTCGAGAGGAGTTGGTGGTTGCCTGGAATGAAATACCACAGGAGGACATTGACCACCTGATCAGAAGCATGCCTAGGCGCGTTGGAGAATGCGTAGCACATCAGGGTGCGTCCACACATTATTAAAGGTCAAAGGGCTTTAAAGCAGTGCAATCATTTGAAATTTTATCATTTACTTATTATGCTTCATTAAGTACTTATACAAAATTTTATTAAAATAAAACCATTTAAACTGGGTGTTCGGGTTTATATGTCACTTAGTATATATACTGAGCGCAGTGAGCAAATTGAGGAATCTAAAGGGTTAACTACAAAAGAACTGCAACGTCTAGTGCTATTACAGCAGTACCAAACAAGTATTTTACAACAAGAGTATTATAAAACGAAATTAGAAATGATGCAGCGTCAGAAGCCACCCGTAACTTATGACGTTCACGTAAATAAAACTTGTTATAACTTATAACTTATAACTTATAAATACACTTTAATCAGTAAAACTATTTATTATAACACCCAAGGATTTAATAACGTCTTTAAATAATAAAGGGTGTTATATACTAAAAAGCTAAAATGGCTGAACATAACTGCAATTATCAAGATCTGCTTACATAGCTTTAAGCTTCCCAGCGTTCTCAACCTGGATAAAAAGAACTGAGACTACGAAAGTACATAGAAGTAAAACTTAAATCGCGTAACTGCGCATTTTGCAACTGTAACAAAAATTTTCAAAAGATTAGTGATCGCTAAAATCTTATTAATTATGGTTCTTGAAAGTTATGTCCCCTATTGCTCGGATTTTTCATACTGTATTCATAATCTTCATTTTGCCATTACCTGGTCACTAAACAAAAAATTGAGCACAAAGTACTTCGGCGCTGGCTGATATCACTGATCAACAGCCAAAACATATCCTAAATAAAATCAACAAAATATTACTATTTTAATGTGCTAAAACCGGAATGAAACTTATTTTTTCAATATTAGTTCAAGTTTTAGAGATACGGTAATTGTATGTGTTCCTGCTGTGACAGTGTTAATATACTGTAATTCACAAGAATGCACGTGCTACATTTTTATATTCGGCAAGGAAAGATGATGTACGTGTACATTATATTGTTTTATATTAGCCATTTTTTCCTCAGGTGGCTGACAGCGTTCATGCAAGATGTCTCGAAAGTGTGTAAACAATCCAGATCAGTTTTGTTACGTGTGTGGTGATGTGACTTTTGCGTCTCAGAGACGGTCTATTACTCCACTAATAACAAAGGCATATCAGCTTTATTTCGGTTGTAAACTAGGTGATCAAGACAAACAGTGGGCACCCCACATCTGCTGTAATACGTGTGCTTCAAGTCTGAGGAGTTGGTTAAATGGCAAAAAACGGTCTATGCGCTTTGCTGTCCCAATGGTTTGGAGAGAGCCTACAAATCATATTAATGATTGTTACTTTTGCATGGTACCTTGTGTTGGACAAGCCACAGGTATGTCCAAGAAAAAAAAATCGGTTATTAACTACCCAAACATACCATCTGCGATGAGACCTGTGCCTCACAGTGACGAAAATCCTATTCCAAAACCCCCAGAATCCTACACTTGCGAATGAGAAAACGAATCAGATCATGGCGATCGAGTGATTCGTCAGGAAGAAGATATGCCATCAACGTCAAGAGATCCTGATTTTATACCGAGCACGTCATGCCACCAACCGCACAAAATAACACAGTCAGAATTAAATGATCTTGTAAGAGATTTAGAACTTCCAAAATGTAAGGCAGAGTTACTTGGATCAAGACTGCGGCAGTGGAACTTGTTAGAAGTCGAAAAAATTAAAATTTTGGGAGGGGACTTCCTTCCACTATCGGAGGGGCATCTTGTTCTGTTCCGCTAGTGCCAGAAGACCTGAAAGTTTCCTCCTTTTTTGCCTGGGGCATCTTCGTTGGATTGTGGAAGAAAATTTCATAGATAATTTCCTGGGTCATTCCCCGAGAAATTCTACAATTTGTAGGATCTTATTGTCTTCAGCTGCACTTTCCGCCACACGGAACCACGTGAAAAACCCTACCCGACATCATCTAGGGTTTTTATTTTGGGGGAATCTTCGCTACTGGAAATCCATTGACACGTTTTCTACCGGGGACCTCTTTCCGAACAGAGACCCTTTTTCCACCATAGGGATTCTTACGTCTACGGTTTTGAAGCCTTTCTCGCCCATTTTAAATTAGTTAGTCAATAAGCTTTCGCATTAAGGGAGATCTCCTAGTTTGGCTGGCTTAAATTTTTGTTGTTAGCCGTTAGTAGATGTAATAAAATGTATTGATGTTAATTTTAGCAATTATTTACCCACACAGAAAATCTATTGTTTGTATGTATTTTTGTTTTTGTTTCTTGGGGTTTTGGGCTAAAGAGTGCCTTTCAACACCAAGGCGGATAAAAGCTGGTGGCGCCCCTAAAAAAATACCCCCCTACTCTCCGGTGTACCTGAGCATAGGGCCTAATTTGCCAACGCTAAATCACGGTTTTATCCTCAGTAACCCCCTAGTTTTTTTTAATCATCCATTGCCTCAATTGAGAGAAATAACTTTAGCTTGAAATTAAAAAGTGATTTTAATTAATTAAAAAAAAAGAAAGAGCGTGGCAACATCTCTCTGATTCTGTCTGATTTTGACAGTCACCGACAAGTTACCGACTACTGTACGAACAAACCATTCGTCGGTCTCCGGAAATTAGACTGATTTGCAATACTTTGTGTGTGCCATTAGTTACCTAAATGCGCAACTCTGCTCCCATCAACCGAGTCCGTATCACTTACCGTTTCACACTGAGTGATAATGATGAGTGTCGAATTTGAAACACCCGGTATACGGTTTGGAACTCGAAAAAACAAACGTTCCTACGGCTTCGAACACAAAAAAAAAATGTTCCCAATATATCGTACCATTCATGAATTCAGATTGTGAAAACCGACGAAGCCTTTAATCACCATGCGTTATATCGTTGTCCGGTGGAAAACGAGCACCAAATACAGAAAGCTATTTTTGGAACGCGTTGAACGTGACCTCAATCCGAGATACCGCCCTCCCATTTTTTTGAAGCTGTGGGTCGGACGCAATGCATTATTTACGAAGAATATTATTCTTGTGTTATATTTATGGCTTGAGGAGGTAAGGAGGTGTTAATAGGTTAGAGTTGGCGCAGTCGAGATTCGTAGGTACTCACAAGTGAACACACTCAGATAATGAGCCGTATTCATAAAACAAAAGATATCCTAGTACTTGCAAACTTTGAAGGAAATCCTCCAGATGGTATTTATAATAATTTGAAGTAAATGCTTTTGCTTTTGAGTATAAGCATATCCTTCAAAGCAGTGATATAAGTAAAAGGATATTCGTAATCTTCATCTTGTACTTGGCATAGGAAGCATATCCTTCAACAATTCTGAGTGTGGTCAGTAGCAGACTCAACTTCGTAACGAAAGGTGGTCAAACGATGATGGCGGAAATTGTGGATGTTAGGGATGTTAAAACGTACAAACCTCGTTTACCTTCACCTGGTCGTGACTTCTTAAAATGAAGATATGTCTACGTTATCTCGGTGACCCTGGATATCAACAAGGTATTGGGCAGGAACTTGGTGTTAGTCGTACTGTGGATAGAGTTGTGAACAGCATAGTTGCACAGTCGAACGAATGGATCAAGTTTCCAAGTACCAACCATGAACTGATGGAGGCCAAGCGGACATGGCAAAGCATGTATACATTTTCGACAGCAATTGGTGTAATTGATTGTACACATACAGGAATCCTGAAACCAAATCGCCATGGAGATGAGTATATCAACCGAAAAGGGAAACCTACTTTAAATGTGCAAGCCACTTGTGATACCAGATATATGTTCACAAGTGTTGATGGCAGTTGGCCTGGATCAGTGCATGATTCCAGAATATGGAGTAATTCACAGACTAGATCACAGCTAATAAATAAAGCAAATGTTGTACTACTTGGCGATGACGGTTATGGTATTGAGCCATGCCTTATGACTCCCTTCAGAAATCGTACTCCATGTGTAGAAATAAATTATAATAAGCTTTTAAAACAAGGAAGAGTTATAATTGAACGCTGTTTCGGCCACCTGAAACGCCGGTTTCCTATCCTACAGTATGTTTGCCGCGTAAAGTTGGAAAATGTGCCGAAAATAATTATTGCTTGTATTGTACTCCATAGTGTTGCGACGAGCTTGGGCGATCCTGACTTTGAGTTAGTTGAACAAAACCTAGATGAAGATGAAGGAAATCATGAGAATGACGAACTTCCTCTCCGCCAACTAGATCAACAAATAAGAAGAAACTTGAGTATTATACGAGTAATAAATAGTTTTACTGATTTGTGTGTATTTATAAGTTATAATAAGTTTTATTTTCGTGAACATCATAAGTTACAGGTGGTTTCTGACGCTGCATCATTTCTAACTTTGTTCTATAATACTCTTGTTGTAAAATACTTTTGTGGTACTGCTGTAATAGCACTAGACGTTGCAGTTCTTTTGTAGTTAACCCTTTGGTTTCCTCATCGAGAATAAATAGTGTTGATGCGTTTTTTGTTCATAGGGTGTCTGAGAAAAGTGCAATCGAATAAAGTTGAGCTTTTTTAAATGGAGTACCCTGTTTCGGCCTGTTTTGCCGTTATAAGTTCGGTAGCGTTTTAATATTGTCACGACTGTGACGTGGAGGCAAGTTTGCTCTGGGTTGAACAGACTTGCTGGTGTGGAGGCTCAAACCATAACACAAAAAAAACCTTTAAGTGTAATAACAAAACGCCGCGCAATAAAATTACAATAAAAGGAAAGAGGTACTTAATTTTTGGACCAGGAAGGTCCAGGCCCACGAAGAGAGATTCGCCATGAGTCACCCCAGGGCAGGAATATCCGACGCGTCGGATCTTTGCGGATTATGCATTATTTGCCGACGATGTGCTTATTTCTCAGCGATGCGGTTTAGGATATCTATCGACCTATGTATTGTGATCACTCGTGGCAATGTTATTGAATTGAAAAACAAAATGCATAAATATTTATTTTCATTAATTGCATCAAAGTACATAACATCTTTTTGTTACATATGCATAAAAATCGAAACTTGATAGCAAGATTCAGTGTTGAGTTTTGGTTTGAAGTTGAAGATAAATAAATAAATGGAAGATATAAAAACAGAAGCCTCAAAAACGAATAAAACATATTTGAGTACTTAAAGCTTAATTTATGAAGATTATGATATACAGGGTGTAAACGTTATGAGAGTCATTATTTAAATAGGTGACAGAGGGGGTTGAAAGAAACATTTTCAGATAACATGAGGGTCAAAACGGCATTTTTTTAGAGAAATACAGATGGAGTTTGTTATTTTTGGCTCTTAGGTATTATTTCATTAGTTGATAATGTACTCGTAAAATGCAAACAATTAAAAAAACGGCTTTACCACTAACTGTCTCAGCGCTTCACCTGGTGTGTGAAAGTTTATTGAACGTATTAAAAAAATCCACTTATAAATAGGGAACACAATTGATACATATATTGTTTTTCTTTTTAAAACCCACACTGCACTTTTTTGTATTTAAAGGTGTTCAAAATGTCGTCCTCCACTTTCCATACAAGCTTCATTACGACGAACCCAGTTTCGTCTTACTCTAGGTCCTCGAAGTTGTCCATTTATTATTTCAGCCACATTAAAATTTTTTTCGCGAAGTTGTGCTTCAGTTGTTATTGGACCAGCCCCATAAACCATCCCTTTAAGTTCTCCCCAATAACAGAAATCCATCGGATTAAGGTCAGGAGACCTTGCTGGCCATTTTCGAGGATCAGGAGCATTTCGACCGATCCAGCGATTTGGGTAATGTTCATTCAAATACTGAATGACGCCTCTAAAAATGTGTAGTGGTGCCCCGTCATGAAGAAACCACAAATTCTATCTCCGTTGTAGTGGCATGTTGTCTAAGGTCTGTTCCAAAAGTTCTGGTAGGTTATTGGCTAGAAAGCTGAGGTATCCTTCTCCTGACAACTGTGGGGGTAACTCGAAAGGACCAATTACCCGATCGTCAAGAAAACCCGCCCAAATATTTATTTTAAAACCTTGTTGGAAATGACCTTCACGAATGGTATGAGGATTTTCTTGGGCCCACGTGTGAGTATTATGGAAATTTAATAACCCGCCTCGCGTAAAAGTACATTCGTCCGTCGCTAGAATGTTTTTAAGAAAATTAGGATTATCAATGTTTTTGTGCGAAAACCACTGACAATGTTAGTCTGCGAGGATAGTCTTCTGGTAACAAGGCCTGCACTCGTTGCACATGGTAGGGATAAAGCAAATTTTCCCGTAGGATTCTATGGACTATGGTATTCGATAGTCCTACGCGGCGGTCTAATTCCCGAGTGCTGATATCTGCATTGATTTCTACGATATTTAGCATTTATTCCTCCTGCTCTACAGTAACCTGTCTTTCACGAGTGCGAATATTAGTGGGCTGAACACTTCCTGTATCTCGAAGTCTTTGGTATACTTGCACAAATGTCCTTCTGACTGGGTGTACCCGTTGGCGATATCTGTTGCGATAAGTTTGAGCTGCAAGATTTGAATCCTGACGAGCTTTACCGTAAACTAACAACATGTCGGCGAACTCTTAGTTCGAGAACATTGTAAATAAACAGGACGACGTACGCGAACAATAACTAACCATTGTTACGGTTTGCGATCGATTGCCGGTTCGATAAGAGTGATGAATGTCCGACGCGCTGTTGTCATGTGTGTTTTAAATATTTAATTTAATGGAATTTACTTACTGACTACAAATTTTGGCTTAACTTGGACCATGGGTCATATGAACTTTTACCCCCCTATTACCCATTTCAATAATGA